TCCTCTTCAAATATACTGCATAAACAAATTGTTGTGTAATGTATTTGTTGTCACTCGTGAATGTGAGGGTTTTGATCATCACTGTCCTGCATGTGAGTGCCTGCAATCAGAGGAAAAGTTATCTTAGAATTTCTCTTTGTATATGTTGTATTTTCCAAGAAGTCATTGCAACCCCGAGTCAAGAGTGCTCTGCAGAGCAGTGGGTACGAGACTGCGCTATAGATTTGTGTTATAACAAGGTGCACATCCTCCCCCAGGCCACACATACAACCCACTCACAAGTCTTCTAACCTTTGAAGTGAGAGTTTGTGATTTGAAAAAGCCTTGACGTTTTAAATGATCGAAGAGAGAAAAGCTCATCAGAACCAGAGTCAAGACACCAGGAGAAGAATCTCCCTCCACAATCTCCTCTGACTCACGTCTCTCCTTCTCCTCTCCTTCTCGCTCTCTTTGCTCTCCTCTCTCTCTTCTCTCTCTCTCTCTCTCTCTCCTACGTCTCTCTCTCTCTCTCTTCTCCTTCCGCTCCTCTCCTTCTCTCTCCTCTCCTCTCACCTCTCTGTCTCTCTTCTATTTTTCTCTCTCTCTTCCTCTTCTCTTTCTTCCTCTTCTCTCCCCTTCTTTCCTTCTCTCCCCTCCGCTTCTCTCTCACTCTCTCCTCTCCTCTCTCTTCTCTCTGTCTACTCCTTCCTACTCTCCTTCCCTCTCTCTCCCTCGCCTCCTTCTCACTTCTCGCCTTACCCTCTCGTCTCTCTCTCTCTTCTCCTATTTACTCCCCTTCCTCTTTTCTCTCTTCTCTCCTACTCTACTCTCTTAATGTCTCTTGCGCCTCTCTTCTCTCTCCTACTCTCTCTTATCTCTCTCTCTCTTTCGCTCTCTTCCCGCTCTTACTCGTCCTATCTCTCTCTACTCTCTCTTCTTCTCTTCTTTCTCTCTCTCTTTTCTTCTTCTCTCTCTTCTTCTCTCTCTCTCTTATCACTCTTCTTCTCTTCTCTCCCTTTATTCTCCTTCTCTCTCTCACTCTTCTCTCTTCTCTCCTCTCCTCTCTCTTCTCTACTCTCTCTCTCACTCGCTCTCTTTCTCCCCTTCTCTTCCTCTCTCCCTAAACGTCCTCCTTCTTCCTCTTCTCCTGCTCTCTCTTCTCTACTCTCTCTCTCTCTGCGTCTCTCTTCCTCTCTCTCCCTACTACTCCTCTCTCTCCTACCCTCTCTCTCTCTCTCGCCTACTAAATCTCTTCTCATCTCCTATCTTCTCTCTTCTTCCGGCTACTCTCTTCTTTCTCTTCTCCTACACCTCCTTGGCTTCTTTCTCTTCTCTCTTTCTCTTCTCTCCTCTCCTCCTCTCTTCTCTCTCGCGTCTCTCTTCTCCTCTATACTACTTTCTTCTCCTCCTCTTCTCTCCTCCCTCTCTCTCCCTCCTCTTCTCCCTTGCTCTCCTCTCTTTCACCGCTTTGCCTCTCTCCTCCTCTCTCGCCCCATCCTCTCTATCTTCCCTCCTCATACTTCTCTCTCTTATCTCGCTTCTAATTCTACCTGGTTCTTCTTCTCTCTCTCTCTCCTCTTACTCCCCTCCCTCATCCTCTCCTCTGCGTCTCTTTCTCTCTCTCTCTCTCTCTCCCAATCTCTTCTCTCTCTCTTCTCTCTGGAGGAAATCTCTCCTACTCATCGCTCCTCTCTCTCTCTCCTCTCTATTCTCTTTCTCTCCCTCTACTCTTCTCTTCTCCTCTCTTCTCTCACTTCCTCTCTCTCCTCTCCCTCTCCCTCTCTAACTCTCTCCTTCTTCTTATCTCCTCTTCTCTTCTCCTCTCTCTATCTTCTCTCTCTCTTTTTCTCCTCTCTCTCTCCCCCCTCCACATCTCTCTCTCCTTCTCCTCTCCCACTCATTCCTCTCTTCTCTTCCTCATCTCCTGCGCTCCCCTCTCTTTCTCTCGCCTCCTCTCTTCTCCTCTCTCCTTCCTCTCTCTCTCTCTCTCTCTTTCTCCTCTCTCTCCTCCTCTCTCTCATCTCTCTTCCTCCTCTACTCTGCCCCCTCTCTCTCTGTCCTCTTTTCCCTACTTCTCTCCTTCTTCCTCTTCTCGTCACCTTCTCCCTCTCTTCTCCTCTCTACTCCCTCTTCTCCGTTTTCTCCCGTTCTTCTCCTTCCTCCACTCTTCGCTCACTTCCTTCTCCCTTCTTCTTATTCTCTCTGTACTTCTCTTTTTTCTCCTCTCTCTCCCCTACTCTCGTACCACGTCTCTCTCTCCTCTTTCTCTCCTCTTTTTCCTCTCTCTCTCATCCTCCTGCTCTCTCTCTTCCTCTTCTTCCGACTCTCTTCTCTCTCCTTCTCTCTCTCCTCGCCTCTCTCTCTCTTCTTCTCTAGTAGAATCTCTCTCTCTGCTTCTCCCCTACGTCTTCCTCTTTTTCCCTCCTCTATCTCTCTCCTACCATCTCTCTCGTCTTCTTCTCCTCTTACCGCTTCCAGCCTCTCTCCTCTCTCTCTCTCCCTCTACTCTAACGTCTCTCTCTCTCCTGCCCTCTTTTATTCTCTCCCTCTCCGCCTCCTCTCCTTTCTCCTCTCCTCCTCCTCGACCTCCTCTCTCGATTCTACCGGTTCTCTCTCACGTCTCTCTTCTCTCTTCTCTCTTCTTCTCTCATCTGGTCTCTGCTCTCTTTTCTCAATCTCTTCTGCTCTCTCTCCTCTGCTTCCTCTCTTCTCTCTCTTCCTTCTCTCTCTCTCTCTTTCTTCTTGTCTCTCTCCTCTCCTCCTCCTCTCTCCCTTTCTCTCTCGTCTCTCCATCCTTCTCTTTCTCTACTCTCTCTCTCACTCTTCTTTCCTTCTCCTCTCTTCTCCGTCTCTCTCTACTTACTCTCCTTTCCTCTCATCCCTTCTCTTTCCTCCTCCCTCTCTCTTTTACTCTCTCTCCTCTCTCTTCTTCTATCTCTCATCTGCTTTTACTCTTCTCCTCTCTCTTCTTTTACTCTTTCCACTCGTCTAGTCTCTCTCCTCGCTCCTCTCTCTTCTCTCGTCTCCTTTCTTCTCTCCTCTACGTCTCTCGTCTCTCTGTTCCCCCCTTCTCTCTTCTCTCGCTCTTCTCTTTCTCTCTCCCTCTCTTATTAGCTCTCTAAACCTCTTCCTCCTCTCTCTACTCTCTGCTTGCCTCTCTACTCTTCTACCTCTCTCTCTCTTCTTCTCCCTCCTCCCTCCTTCTTTCTCACCTCTCCTCTTCTTCCCCTAACCGTCTGCCCTTTCTGACGTCTCTCTTCTCATCCTCTCCTGTCTCTCTCTCTCTTCTTCTCTTCTCTCTCCATTCTCTCTTCCCTCTCTCTTCCTCTTCTCTTCTCCTCAACCTTCTCTCTCCTTCTTTCTTTCTTCCCCTCCTCTCTCTTATCTCTCCCCTGCCTTCCTCGCTCTTCTTCTCTCTCCCTCTCTCTTGCTCTCCCTCTTTCTTCTCTCCCTCCGCTTCTCCTCCCTCTCCTCCTTCTCTCTCCTCTCCCTCCCTCCTCTCGCTTCTCCCCCTTTCTCTCTCTACCTCTTCTCTTCTCTCTACTCTTTCTTCTTCTTCTCCTCTCTCTCTCCTACCCTCCTCTTCTCCCGTCTCCCTTTCCAAAAACGTCCTCTCCCCGTCTCTTCTCCTTCTCTCCTCGCTCTCTCTCTCTTTCTCCAATCCTCTCTGCCTCTTCTTATCTCTCTTCCTTTCTCTCTCTCTCTTCTGCTCTCTCTCTCTCCTTTTCTCTCTCTCTCTTCTTCTCTCCCTCCTATTCTCTCTAAGCACTCCTCTCTCTTCTCTTCTCCTCCTTGTATTACTCTCTTCGCTCTTCTTTCTCTCCTCTCTCCTCTCTCCTCTCTCTCTCCTCGCACCTTTCCTCTCTTCTCTTTCTCTCTTCCTCTCTCATCTCTCCTTCCCTCTCTTCTTCGTCCTACCCTATACTCTTCTCCTGCTTCTTCCTTTTCCTCCTCTCTCGCTCTCTCCTGCGTCTCTCTTTCTCTTCTTCCCTCTTTCTCTTCTCTCTCCTTTCTCCTCTAATCACTCTCTCCTCTTCCTCTCTCTTCCTCTCTTCTTCTCTCTCTCTCCTCTCCTCTCTCGCTCTCCTACCTGCTCTCTTCTCTCACCTCCGTCTCTCCTTCCTCTCGGTCCCTCTCCTTTCCTTCTCTATGTATCCTCTCGTCCTCTCTTTACCTCTCCTCTCTCCTCTCTTCTCTCTTCTCCCTAACGTCTCTCCTCTCTCATCTCTACAGCCATCTCTCCTACATCCTCTTCTCTTCTCTCTCATCTCCTCTCTTCTCTCTAGCTCTCTCTTCTCCCTCTTTATATTTCTCTCTTTAAAACTCTACTCTCCCTTTTTCTCTCCTCTCTCTCCTCCCTCTCTCTCTCTCTCTCTCTCTACTTATCTTCGTCTCTCTCTCTCTCTCTTCTTCTCTCTCCTCTCTCTCTTCCTCTTCTCTTTCCTCTCTCCTCTCTCTCTTCTCTCCCTCCTCCTCCCTCTTTCCTTGCTCTTCTCCTTCTCTCCTCTCCTCTCTCTTTCACGTCTCTCTTTCCTCCTTCTCTTCTTCTCTATCTCTTCATAACTTCCTCTCCTCTCTCTCTCTCTCTCTTATCTCTTTGCTCATCCTCCCTCTCACCCTCTCTCTCCTCACCTCTCTCTTCCACGCACTCTCTCCTCTCCTCGTCTCTCTCTCTCTTCTCTCTTTCTTCTCTCCCTCGCTCTCTCCCTCTTTTTCTTCCTCCTTCTCTCTATCACAAGTCTGAAGAATTTTAAAACTGTCATTTTTAACTGTAACTCACTATCTTCTCTCTCTCTCCCTAAAGTGCTGAAAAGAAAGAAAAAAAGTAACTTAACTCCCTATTAACCATTTTAGTGAACATTTTAGAGCAGATATAATTATATGGTTTTCCTGAGACAATAGTAAGTATAACAGTATAAACAGTTCATAGTAGTTCTTTAAAATCATTGCTGCAAGATACAGCCCTAAAGATGAGTTTGACATGCCTGGTCTACAGCTTTAACCTGTGCTTTTTACATCAGTGCTTCTCCATGGATAAGCTGGAGGGCCTGGAGAGCGAGGGCCAGCTGGTGCAGAGGGCTCTGGAGCTGCTGGAGGACAGGCAGTTCTGGGCCGGGGTGGTGTTCCTTCTGCCCAAACAGCTCGTCCCCTGAGCTGCCTCCACACGTCCAGTACAAGATCCGCATGGACATCGACGACGTGACGCGCACCAACAAGATCAAGGACAGGTACTGGGAAGGGGAGGAGCAGAAGGGACTGAGGAAAATCAAAAACATCAGTTGATTTTTGAAGATTTGAAGATACAAGTCTGGCTTTTCCTGTGTTCTTAAATGCATCACTGCCTGTTGTCTCATAAGTATTCAATGTTCTTGGATACATTCACAAGTTTACATAAGAGGAGGGGGAGTGGAATGTTTGTAAAGCACTCAATGGAACAATTATCTTTGGTCACAGAGGTGAAACACATCAGGGCGGGGTAGACAATCAACGGGAACACGGGAAGACAGAAAGAGAGAGACTATAGAGAACTTATTTCAAAATAAAACCAAAGTACAAAAATAAAATCTTTTTAGTAAGAGGGTCTTAGTTACCAGACTTTTCCAGGGGCCAACAATATGGAGTGTATAACTTTTTATCTATTATTGGACTGTTCTGAGTTCCATTATGAACAGTCCTAGAACTTGGGTCGCCAACCTATGGCTCGGGAGCTACCTGTAGCTCGCCATCCCCTTTCACAATTCAAGAATTTAACACGTAATCCTGAATGATACATCTACTTGTCTTTGTTAATTCTGTGTACTCCACTTAATGTCTGTGTGCGTCTTTTTATGTGTCTGTCTGTTTGTGTGTGTGGTTCAGGTTCTGGGATCCCGGACCGGCCGCAGACCCTTCAGTGACATGCGGTACGTCTGGGGCGGCTTCGTGTACGTGCAGGACCTGGTGGAGCGTGCAGTCACCACAGTCCTGACTGGAGCCTCTCAGACCATCGGCCTCTTACGTGCAGCAGATGCCCTACCCCTGCTACGTGGATGACGTGTGAGTGATGGCTGATGCTAACCCGCTAGCTCAAGAAGCTCAACTAGTCGTATCACAGCCGACCCCTCTCACTCTGCACATAGACTGTTCCAACCTCTCCCCTCGGGCAGGAGGGCTACGGTCCATCAGGACCAGATCCTCCCGCCATAAGAACAGTTTATTTCCCTCCCTTGAACACTTAGAATAAGCTATACTTTAGAGATGTTTAGAAATGTATTATTATGCTTTATTCTTTCTCTACTGTTGACTTGATTGCACGGCACGGAGAGCCAAAGCAATTTCCTAGTCTGTGACTTCTTGTTACTTACATGGCAATAAAAAGGATTCTGATTCTGATTGTATACATCTATGTTAGCAGCATATATGTGAAGTGAATCTACTGGTCTTTGAATTTGATTGTGCTCTGTGTGTTTCACCAGGTTTCTGCGCGTGCTGAACCGCTCTCTGCCCCTCTTCATGACGCTGGCCTGGATCTACTCCGTGGCCATGATCATCAAAGGCGTGGTGTACGAGAAGGAAGCGCGGCTGAAGGAGACCATGCGCATCATGGGCCTGAGCTCCGGGACTCTGTGGCTCAGCTGGTTCATCTCCTCCCTGGTTCCCTTCCTGGTGTCCGCAGCGCTGCTCATTGCTCTGCTCAAGGTACGGGACGGGAGGAGCTCAGAGTAAAGCCGCTGCTCCTCCTCTGGTCTCAGAGAGGAGCAAGCTGAGGCCAGACCTGTTCCTATGGATAAAATGTGAGAGAGTCAGTAATTTTACCATTTGAGTCTCTGTGACAATAGAAAACAGATTTGTCCATCTCTGAAAGATCAAACCACAAACAGATGCACCAGAAAAAATAATCAATGCTTTTTTTTACTGACTTTGACGCACATTTTTTATAGTTTTTCATGAGTAGGCACAGTGGCGCAGCGCTTAGCGCTTGTGTTTCACAGTGCGTCTGCAGGGAGAACATGCAAAATAATAAAATAAAAACAATTAAATATTTACGTTGAAAACATAAAACAATAAAATAAATGAAAACATAAAACAATAGAATGAATAAAATAGAGGACACAACTCACACGGGTCTTAAAGTGGGTTTAAGGACGAGACTTAAACATTCCGACGAGGTGGTTGTCTTGACGTATATTATAATAAACATGACTTACTAGGCGCTAAAGCCTTATTTTTGTATTATTACAGATGCGTGTTTATGTCTATATCTATGTATGTAGATATGTATGTATTCTTTCTATGCCTGTTTATTCCCTGGGCTACTTCTGCATGAATGGTGCTTTATAAATAAATTTGCCTTATCTGGTCCTCGCAGTGGGGGGACATCCTGCCCTACAGCGACCCGTCCGTGGTCTTCTTCTTCCTGTCGGCCTTCGCCACCGCCACCATCATGCAGTGTTTCCTGATCAGCACCTTCTTCTCCAAAGCCAACCTGTCGGCGGCGTGTGGAGGCCTCATCTACTTCAGCCTGTACCTGCCGTACGTGCTGTGTGTGGCCTGGAGAGACCGCCTTACCAGCACGCACCGCATCCTTGCTGTGAGTGCGCCTTTACCTTAGAAAGAAGACATTATTGCATTACATTCATCTTATAATTCAATCTGAAGAGACCAAGACAGAAACATTCATGCATGAAAAATATTTATTTGTTTGGCGCATTGACCCCGGCAGTGACACTTACAAAGGGGAGATCATCTGCTGCTGTAGATGATCTCAGATCCCCTGGGGTCAAGCACTGGTGGTGGCTAGAAGCATGTTATGAATGGGGCGTAGGCGGAGCCCGAGCCAGAGCAGGAGCCAGGAGCTGTCAGTGGGTTGGCAAGACGCTGGCCGGGCTGTGTGATTGGCAGAGGCTCGAGGCTGGCAGAGCTGTGTGATTGGCTGGCTCTGGACGGGTGAGAGCTGTGGCCGGTCTTTCAGTCTGAATTTGCGCTTCAGCTTCATTTCTGCTCTGATGATCCACTCTTCACTTTTCTTGTATCTAATTAAAACTTGCTCAAATTAAAATAAATTTAGCCAAATTTGAGTTCTTGAAATAAGACTAAATGTCTCTGTCCTATCGGTGAATATTGTTTGAACACGGTCAGAATGTGCTCAGAATAAGATTAAAACCACTCGATTCAAGCCATTATCACCTCATATTTTACAGTGTGTAAATACCTCGTGATGCTGCTAACTACAGTGTATATTCCACTAGTGACTTCTCCTTGAACCAAGTGTAATGAGTGTAATCGCCAGAGTTATATTGTATTAGGGCTGCACGATATGGACAAAAAGTCATATCTCGATATTTTTGGGCTGAATGGCAATATACGATATATATCTCGATATTTTTCTTCCAGTGAATTGAAACCAATGAGCCATGTTCTTGGTCAAAACCACAGGTGACAAATGTCTCAAAGGCACTTTTATTAATGTTCAACTGCAGAACATGTGCATAAATTGCTTTCATTAAACAAAAAACATGTATTATTATTTTAAATCAAAATAAATTAGAAATAAATATTCCTTTACTGTGTAACAGTATAGTGCAAAATGTGAACAGAAAAGATACTGACAAAAATAACAAGTCAGCCTGCTTTAGGAAAGCTTCAATCTATGAAGGGAGACTGAGGGATGCTTCCTTCTCCTAAATGCAATTCAAGTACTTTGTGCAAATGTAAACAATCAAACAATATAACTCAATGTAAACACGTTCTTGGAACAATTATTTAGCAACCATTAAACTTAAAACATGAAAGACAAGAGGTATTGGCCTGTAGTGTACATCTTACAGATTTTGTGCCAGAAAAATGAGCCTGTCTACACTTTCAGGCTTCAGGGATGCCCTGTGGCAGGTTACAATGTTACCACTGCAACTAAAAACCCTTTCTGAAGGGGAGCTGGTGGCTGGCACACAAAGGTACTTGTTGGCCAGGCGGCTCAGTGCTGGAAAAGCAACCTCATGGTCCTTCCACCATTTGAGTGGGTCAGCATCACTCTCTATGCAGATTGACTGCAGATAGGTTGACAGTTCATGTTCTATTGTCTCTCTCGGTGTGAGTTTGGTGCCGGTGGCACTACCAGTGCCAGGACTCTCTTTAAAGAAGCTTGCGAGTGATTTCTTTCTTTTTGGATTAGGTGGCACTGCCACAGCTGCTCCTTCTTGTTCTGTTGGGTCATTCAGCTCGCGCACACATTCATGCAGCAAAGACTGAGTCTCCAAAATAACTCTGCGTTCCATGTGGTCATGGTCACATGAGATGTATTTGGCCCTGAATCTTGGATCTAGAAGAGAGGCTATATCCAACAGGTCACTGGTAGTTGGGTCTGCATATTTGTTATTGAGGTAATCCACAACTTTGGTCTTGATGGACTTACACAGCTCACTATCCCCTTCTTCAGATGCCATGAGACGATTGTTGAACAGGTGAAGTACAGGTCTGACATACGACAGGGTCACGTAGGCCTCTCCTGAGAAAGCATCTGTAAAGTCCTGAAGAGGTTTTAGAGCTTTCTGAATGGCCTCCAGGACCTCTATGTCCTGCCAGGTAAGGACTAGAGGTCTAGTTTTCTTGTCAGCGGACAGGACTTTAGCCAGTGCTCTTTCTTGCTCCAGGACCCTCTCTATCATTACCAACCTCGATCCCCAGCGTGTGGCAGACTCTGTGATCAATTGGTGAGCTGGCAGACCAAGTTGCAGTTGTACTTCAGCCAGTTCTCTTCTTTTTTTCCAGCTGTATGAAAAGCTGCTCACGATCCTCTTGCACAGACCAATAGCACGGGTGATACGGGCATCATTCATGGCATGTCCTGTATGACAAATTGAATAACACATTCTAAAATCACTTTAATTTATTTGAGACACAGAGCTCCCTCAAATACAAATTGAAAGCTATTTACATTAAATAGGAGTGTAATGTTTATATGTTCATGACACTGTGTAAACTACAAACGGTGTGTTAAACTAAACTAAATTAGTAAAACAAGTTCAAGTGTTGAATTTGTGCAATCTAAAACAGGATCTGAAATTTAGACCAGGCATTCAGATACATCTTCACCATTTAACCTGGATTTATTTTCACCACCATACTTAAAATGTATTAGACTGAATTTAGATTAATTTTAACCTGATTCAAAAAAAGTAAAAAAAAAAGTCAGAACACAGGCGTTGTTGCATGAATTTGCCAGTTTTGGGATCACCCTACATGAATGAATAATTCAGTATTGCACTTACCAATGGCCAGATGAAGTCTGTGACCAAAGCACTGCATCCTTAACCACTTGTTGAGTTGCACCGCTTTAACAACATTTGCACCGTTGTCAGTAGTTACGGCCACCAGTTTTTCCGGGTTGAGCTTCCAGCTAGAGAGGACGTCTTGCAGAGCCTCTGCTATATGCTCCCCGGTATGGTCCTGAGGAAAGTAGCTCGTCTGGAGACATGCTGATTTCATATTCCAGTCCTCCACAAAATGTATCGTTACACACATGTATGGTTCACAGGTCCGGCTGGACCACATGTCCGATGTTAGTGCAAAATGTGACACTTTGGCGAGTCGGGCGTCCATGCCGGCTCGTACTTCTTTATACATGTTTGGTAACACTTCGTTTGCAAAATAATTTCGTCCAGGTACCTGGTATCTGGGTTCCACTATTTTAAACATCTGAATAAAGCCAGTCTGTTCCACTGTACTAATCGGAGCCATATCCTTAGCGATGTGGAAAGCTATTGCATTCGTGATGTCACGCCACTTCTTACTTGTTTTATCAAAAGTGGCAGTGCGAACGAGTGTGTTCTCCAGCGTGACTTGTTTTGCTTTCGGGTTAGAAGAATGATCTGAGTTTATCTTTGGCCTTGCAGCGCGCAGTCGAAGGCACTCTTCATATTCAACTTTATGTCGCTGTTGTAAGTGATGAAACAGATTCGTCGTGCTCGAACCTTTTGCCGGAATGGATTTTCGGCATTGTCTGCAGAATACATGTTTCTGCTCCACATCTGCAACCTGGAATCCAAACCACCGCCATATGAGTGATCCATTGTTCCTTTTTTTGGAAACCAGCTCCTCTTCCACAACTTCTATCGAGTCAGAGGCAGATTCCATTTTTGTTTATGTTGTGCTGCTGTGCTGAGCGCGCGGGAAGGGGAGGGCTAATTTCCGGGAGGGATGAACGCGACCGTCTTCTTCTACGTTTTTCATCTGTTTGCGGCCGCGGAAATTGACACACGTATATCGTTATTATCGATATTGCCTTATTATCTATAGTGCGGCACAAAAATCTCGATATAACGATAATATCGATATATCGTGCAGCCCTATATTGTATTGTTATATTATTGATTTATTTGTCACAAGGTGGAAAGGAGGAGAACCCAAAAATGCAGGAATGTCAAATAATAAATATTTAATTCCAGGGTAAAACAAACTAAAAATCCAAAAGGAACAAGGAACCAGGAACTGGACAGACATTGAGAATTTAATGGGGTCGGCACTAGATCAAATACATAATCGGGACGGAAGCGGACTGAACCCTAACCCTAACACTGCCTAAACTAATAGATCCATACCTAAACTTAACCAGCTATTCCCATAGAATAACCCCAACCTAACCTTAACCATCTTACTCAGACACCTAAAACTTAACCAGTCACCACTAATTCGGAGGTGGGATTGTTACTTCCCCTTCCGTCACGATTCCGTATATGATCTAGTGCCGACCAATACAATGGACCAGCAGCAAGGGGAGAGGAGCACAGGTACATACAGTGCCTTGCGAAAGTATTCGGCCCCCTTGAACCTTTCAACATTTTGCCACATTTCAGGCTTCAAACATAAAGATATAGACTATAAATGTTTTGTCAAGAATCAACAACAAGTGGGACACAATCGTGAAGTGGAACGAAATTTATTGGATAATTTAAACTTTTTTAACAAATAGAAAACTGAAAAGTGGGGCGTGCAATATAATTCGGCCCCCTTGCACCACCTTTTGCTGCTATTACAGCTGCAAGTCGCTTGGGGTATGTCTCTATCAGTTTTGCACATCGAGAGACTGGAATTCTTGCCCATTCTTCCTTGCAAAACAGCTCGAGCTCAGTGAGGTTGGATGGAGAGCGTTTGTGAACAGCAGTCTTCAGCTCTTTCCACAGATTCTCGATTGGATTCAGGTCTGGACTTTGACTTGGCCATTCTAACACCTGGATACGTCTATTTGTGAACCATTCCATTGTAGATTCGGCTTTATGTTTTGGATCATTGTCCTGTTGGAAGATAAATCTCCGTCCCAGTCTCAGGTCTTTTGCAGACTCCAACAGGTTTTCTTCCAGAATGGTCCTGTATTTGGCTCCATCCATCTTCCCATCAATTTTAGCCATCTTCCCTGTCCCTGCTGAAGAAAAGCAGGCCCAAACCATGATGCTGCCACCACCATGTTTGACAGTGGGGATGGTGTGTTCAGGGTGATGAGCTGTGTTGCTTTTACGCCAAACATATCGTTTTGCATTGTGGCCAAAAAGTTCCATTTTGGTTTCATCTGACCAGAGCACCTTCTTCCACATGTTTGGTGTGTCTCCCAGGTGGCTTGTGGCAAACTTTAAACAAGACTTTTTATGGATAGCTTTGAGAAATGGCTTTCTTCTTGCCACTCTTCCATAAAGGCCAGATTTGTGCAGTGCACGACTGATTGTTGTCCTATGGACAGACTCTCCCACCTCAGCTGTAGTTATCTGCAGTTCATCCAGAGTGATCATGGGCCTCTTGTCTGCATCTCTGATCAGTCTTCTCCTTGTTTGAGATGAAAGTTTGGAGGGACGGCCTGGTCTTGGTAGATTTGCAGTGGTCTGATACTCCTTCCATTTCAATATAATTGCTTGCACAGTGCTCCTTGAGATGTTTAAAGCTTGGGAAATCTTTTTGTATCCAAATCCGGCTTTAAACTTCTCCACAACAGTATCTCGGACCTGCCTGGCGTGTTCCTTTGTCTTCATGGTTCTCTCTGCGCTTTAAACAGAACCCTGAGACTATTCTATTCTATTTATCATCATCAGTCATTTAGGACAACATTGGATCATTCAAAGATCCTCACTGAACTTCTGGAGTGAGTTTGCTGCACTGAAAGTAAAGAGGCCAAATACTATTGCACGCCCCACTTTTCAGTTTTTTATTTGTTAATAAAGTTTAAATTATCCAATAAATTTCGTTCCACTTCACGATTGTGTCCCACAACGTGACCTTGTTGTTGATTCATGACAAAACTTTTTTTTAAAAATATCTTTATGTTTGAAGCCTGAAATGGCGAAATGTTGAAAGGTTCAAGGGGGCCAAATACTTTCGCAAGGCACTGTATATAGAGAGAGACACAGGTGAAACACATCAGGGCAGGGCACGTCAACACATCAACAGGGGAACAGGACAGGAAGTGCAACTGAAGTGAAACCAGAGACCTAACTAATGTCAAAATAAAACCAAACACAGAAATAAAAACCACACCATGACATTATTATCTATTATCTTCAATTATAGATCCTGTTTGATGTGTGCATAACCTGCGTGCTCTTCTTTCCTCCTTATATTCTGCTATAACTTTCAATAATGTCAGAGCTTCCTGTCCCCTGTGGCCTTCGGCTTCGGCTGTGAGTACTTCTCCCAGTTTGAGGAGCAGGGCGTGGGCATCCAGTGGTCCAACCTGGGGCTGAGTCCTGTGAGCGGAGACAAGTACAGCTTCGCTACGTCCATCTCCATGCTCTACGCCGACGCTTTCATCTACGCCGTGGCCGCCTGGTACATCGAGGCCGTGTTCCCAGGTGAGAGACACTACCGATCCAAGGGGCCAGGAAGGGGTCGAGGTCCAGGGGCCGAGTCCAGGGAGCAAAGTCCAGGGGGCAAAGTCCAGGGGGCAAAGTCAGAGAGCGTATATTAGAAGAGGACTTACCACAGTTAGAGATTTTATACTTGCTTCTTTTTATGCTAAATTTAGAGATTTTATTTTGTTTTAGTATATAGTTATTGTTCATTTATCTTGCGCTGTGTGCTCCTCATTCCTACTGATCCATAACTGGTGATGCAACACTGACATTTCCCCACAGTGGGATGAATAAAGAATCTCTTAATCTTCACCATCTTATAAGGGCATTTATTCCGTGGCGTTAGCTTCTACGGAAGCTGGAGTGTACATTGTCACGTTTCTATTGATCGTGTAGTTTATATGAATTAGCTACGCACAGAACAATGAGTATTGGGTATTGCAGCTAACTCAAACTGGTTCCATGAGGTTTTGTAGCTAACTCAACTGGTCCAGATACAGGTCCATGAGGCTCTGTGTCAGGTCCATCTATCCAGGTTTTTGTCACCTACACAAGATCAGGTCATGGAGGAGCAGCGTGTCTTCTCCATAGACTGTAAATATTAACGGACGTAGTCATGCCTATCTCCGCCGTTCTAACTAATGGGCCAAAAAATGTGCTCTACTGGAGCTATCCAAAATGGCCGCGAGTGGTCCTGCCCACAAGAAAATTGTGAAAAAACACATCTGCGCATGCCTCAGCCGGCACAAGACCCTGGTCTTCTCCAAGCTCCTTCCTCTATCTTTACAGTAGTATTTTGACCCCCTTTGCTGCAGTTACTGGGCATAACTCAGGTTGTGTTTCATGTGAGGACATTTGTGAGACCTCAGTCCTTCCACAGTTGATCTGTTTGTTCTCTGCAGGAGAGTACGGCATCCCCAGACCCTGGTACTTTGTGTTCCAGATGAACTTTTGGAGCGGGCTTCCTCTGGAGGTGGGCATGCCCCTCCCCCCTGCGCCCGCAGAACAGGACCAAGGTACCAGGTTTCTTTCCCCACTGTTGGGTATCTGTTGGGTTCATATAAGAGAAGAAACAACATCAAACACGAGAACAGTTGTTTGATGATATGTTTTCAGTCCAGTTCAGCTCAGGAGGGGGGGGGGGGGGGGGGGGTGTTGAGGACTGGGGCCCCATATACATGTAGCTCTTAGAAGTCCTACAAGACGACTGCTGTTCGGATTTAGGGCGATACACAAATATATGGAATTGAATATGTACAGTGCATAGTTATCCTTTTCTTTGGTTCTTTTGTCTTCAGACCACATCGAGCCGGACCCCTCAGACCTGGTCCAGGGCGTGAGCATCAGAAACCTGGTGAAGATCTATAAGAAAGGCGGGAAAGTGGCCGTGAACCACCTCAACCTGAAGTTCTACGAGGGTCAGATCACATCTTTCCTGGGACACAACGGAGCGGGGAAGACCACCACCATGTGAGGCGCCACACACTTCATACACTTCACTCAAACAGACGCACACGCACCCCCACACACACAGACTATATAACACGACAAGGACTGCAGCCTTTTTATACGGAATCAGCCTTATCCTTATAGAGGAGAGGAAAGAGGGAATATGAAATATGAATATGAAATATGAAATACATGCACACACAGACACGCAAACACAGATAAACATTCAGACTGACACACACATACACTCACACAAAAACATACATAATCACACACATACATACAGTCTCACACACACAGTTGCACATACACACACACTCACTCTCTCACTCACAGTGACCTGTCCCCTCAGCTCAGTCCTGACCGGCCTGTTCCCTCCTTCCTCTGGGACAGTGTACATCGGGGGGATGGACATTCGCCACAACATGGATTACATCCGCAGGACTCTAGGGGTGTGTCCCCAGCACAACGTCCTCTTTGACATGTGAGATCACATCCACTGATTTAAGACCAGCTTTAAGTCACTCCTGTCCATTATAACGTGCGTGCGCGTGCGTTTTCCTGTTTGTCTGTACCTGTGTGTGTGTTGCAGTCTGACGGTGGAGGAGCACGTGTGGTTCTATGGTCGTCTCAAAGGTCTGTCTGAGGAGGAGGTCCGGCAGGAGCTGGACACTCTGCTGGAGGATGTGGGACTGCTACACAAGAAACGGGAGCAGGCCAAGAACCTCTCTGGTACCTACACAAGTACACACCATAGACAGAGTGTGACATCACCACAGTGTTAGCCTTAATGCGGAAGAAGCAGAGTTGATCATAAGCTAGCTGGAGTAAATACTTCCTTCTTATTTGTGTCAAAATATAAACACCAGGATCACAGAGAGCACAAAACCACAAATGTGTTTACCCCAAAATGTGTGACACAAACGGTTTCTGAACTAAAGACTACTTTTCAATGTAAGTCAACAGTAGCCAGACAGAGTTAGAGCAAAACTTCGTCAATGAGCTCTTCCCCATAAGCATTGTCCATCTATATACAGCCTGTATATCTATGGAAAGTACTGTAGTCTCTCTTGTTGATCTGATTTCTCTGGTTGTTCTCTCTGGTCTCTCTTGCGTTTTTCTCTGGTCTCTCTTGCGTTTTTCTCTGATCTCTCTGTTGGCTTTCTGGTCTCTCTGATCTCTCTCTGGTCTCTCTGATCTCTCTCTGATCTCTCTCTGGTCTCTCTGATCTCTCTCTGGTCTCTCTTGTTTCTCTCTGGTTTGCCCTTGTCACATATAAAGGGGCTAAACCGTTTAAACATATGACCGGTAAGTAATCTTTATTTATATAGTGCATTTTTTTACAGACCAAGACCCAAGAGCTTTACAGTGAATTCACATTTTCCCGACTGATGTACTCAGTGTACCTAAAGGCTTTATCCTTGAGATAGATCTTGTGTTTGTCCCAAGTTTGATTAGTGGATGCTACCTTTCACGACATGCAATCCCATATCCACATCATCGCAGATTCCTGATGAGCTGTTTTCTTGTTTTGAATCGGCTGCGCTCTCAGGTGGGATGCAGAGAAAGCTGTCGGTGGCCATTGCGTTCGTAGGAGGCTCCAAAGTGGTGGTTCTGGACGAGCCCACCGCCGGAGTGGACCCTTACTCCAGAAGAGGCATCTGGGATCTGCTTCTCAAGTACCGCAAAGGTCTGAGAAAACACACAAGACAAAATTACCTGTTCTCAGCTTTTGTCCTGCTCTAGTAGTTTTCCTTCATTTATAATCTCTGTGTAGTTGTGTTCATGTGACATCAAAGAAGTCAGACTCTAGACTTATTATAGAGCTTCTTTTAGAGCTAATTTCTCTGTAATTCCTGGAACAAAGCTCCACATCATCTTTGTCAGCTCATATGGTCTCTCTAGACTCTGGTCTCTCTGTCCTCTCTCTGGTCTCGTTCTGGTCTCTCTATCTGGTCTCTCTATCTGGTCTCTCTCACTGGTCTCTCTCTCTGGTCTTGCGCTCTTGCCTCTCTCTGGTCTCTCTCTCAGTTCACTCTTTCTAGCCTCTCTCTCGGATCTCTGTTTTCTCTTTCTGGTCTCTCTCTGGCCTCTCTCTGATCTCTCTCATGCCACTCTCTCTAGCCTCTTTCTCGCTGCTTCCTCACTCATGTCATTGAAATGTAACCAACATGTCCCTGTGTTGTCCTCAGATCGCACCATCATCCTCTCCACTCACTACATGGACGAGGCAGAGCTGCTGGGGGACCGCATCGCCATCATCTCCCAGGGCCGGCTCTGCTGCTGTGGGACCCCCCTGTTCCTGAAGTCCCACCTGGGCTCTGGGTACTACCTGACCGTGGTGAAGAGGGACGGGGCCAGTGCCAGTCACTCAAGCGTGTGCACTAGCAGCAGCAGCACCAGCAGAGTGCCTCCTCCCAACAAGGTCTGGTAGTGTTGGGGCTAGGCAGGGGCTCTCTGGTCTCTCTCTGGTCTCTCTATGGTCTCTCTCTGGTCTCTTTCTGGTCTCTCTCTGGTCTCAGTCTCTGATCTCTCTGGTTTCTCTCACTCGCCTCTCTGATCCCTCTGTCTGTCTACAGCAGATTCCACCCCTTTCCTCATGTAAGTCCTGTTTTAACCTGAAGATTTGGGTGGAGTCTGCTGTGCTCTTGCCCATTCTGAAACCTGATTGACACCCCTGATCTGAAGTGAAGTGCTTTACAGGAACTATGGATGTTTCTAATGCTCTGTCTGTTGCAGCCTCCGGACACAGAATCCTCCATGAGTGAAGACACAGGTCTGGGCAGCGAGGACAACGGCTCCAGTGAGTCTCTCTTTATGTACATTTATGAAACCAGACTCTTATTTATGACTCTTTGTGCCTCTGCAAAGCGATCTTCCAGTTTCTTCCCCATGGAATATAAGTTCAAACCAATTATCTGTTGATTTGCCAACACAGATCAGAAAATCAAACACAGGAAATGCAACAATAAAAAACACATAGAGCCATCAGTGGATTAGGGGCAGAGACCAATGTCCATATATGTTGTTGAATCTTGAATTTGGAATTACTGGTTCCTCTGTAGGCGTGGGGGCCCTGCTGTCCCTGGCTCAGCAGATGGTCCCTGGGGTCCGTCTGGTGGAGGACCAGGGCTCCGAGGCCGTGTTGAACCTGCCTCAGTCTGCGGTGAAGGACTGCAGTCTGGCCCTGTTCCTCTCGGAGCTCGAGCTGAGGCTACAGGAGCTGGGCCTGCGGAGCTATGGCCTCTCACACAGCTCTCTGGAGGAGGTGAGGTCCAGAGAGAAGAGTTTAGAGAGAGAGAGAGACCGGAAAGACACCAGAGAGAGATTACAGTCCAGAGAGATAAAACAGAGTAACCAGAGAGACCAGCGAGGCCAGCGAGAGTCCAAAGAGAGAGAAACCAGTGCTAAACCAGTTAAAGACCATAGAGAGAGACCAAAGAGAGACCAGGGTGAGACCAGAGAGTGAGGAGAACGAGACCAGGGAGAGACCATAGAGGAACTAAAGAGTGACAGAAACGAGGAACCAGGGTGAGACCAGATAAAGCCCAGAGAGAGACCAGGGAGAAACCAGGTAGAGAGAAAACCTAGGCCTCATTGTTCACGGTAAGCTGTGTTTTGTGTTGAGATTTTCCTGCGTGTGGCGGAGGAGACCGGGGTGGACGCAGACCCAGAGAGCCCTGAGGTCCTGGGGTCTTCAGTCAGACCCAGACCTGAGCAGGACCCAGAGCCCGGTCCATGTGAGTGAAGCTTCTACTCCGCGCTAACTGTGACTGTATTTCTGTCTGTGACCATAAACTGTTTCTGGTTTTAACGCCTCAGCTCGGACACGACTGCGCAGACCAGGTAGGACACGTGAAGTATTGCAGTGTTAGCAAAAGTCTTGATTTAGTGATTAACTTTTTCTTTCACATTTCCTAATATTTCATCCAAGTAAAACTCTCTGTGTAATAACCCAAGGCAAGGACAAAAGGTGAGGAGTAGGAGGCCATCGCAGCCCTGACCTCTGACATTTGTGGGCCAAAATTCCAACAATTGAGAAGCTTGTGGAAAACTACACCGAACATTTGGCACAATTAAGCCGTTTTGAGCTAAAGTTGAAATACAATACTCTTCTTAATGATATTATATGTTTCTGTATATAGATGGACAATGATAACCCGCTAGCTCAATGAAGCCCAATAGGAAAGTGCTCATGGACAAAGTTTTGCCCCAACTCGCTCTGGCTCCTATTGACTTACATGTCAAATTAAACCCCTCTCTCTCAGTAACCATCATACTCACCATTTTGGGATTAGAAAAGTGCTCTCTACAATCCTGATATTTAAATTGTGAAATTGTTTTTGTAAATCCAGATATGAGGCGTGTAAGGATTGACCAATCAGATGCCTTTATTCATGGGGGAAACTCCAGCTTGCCTTAGCAACTGCCTTAGAAACACGTCTGTTCTAGTTACGGTGCAAAGCTAAAGCCAGATATGAAAAAAGCAAATTGGCTTCTTCTGCATTAGGCCAACACTACGGTGATGTCACACTCGGTCAGTCCACTCCTCTGGTTACACCCAGTGAGCATCATTTAATTTCTAGTTTTTCTAATGTATAAATGTTTCTTATGGGACCAGCTCTCTCAAACCTGCACCTTCTCTTCTCCTGACGGTTAAAACCAGTGGGGGCGGGATCCGGCTCAAAAGTGGCCAAAATGACGTGCGCTGACATGCTGCAATACCACCCCGTGCCGATGGGGGTGGACCCGGAATAAGAAATAGCCAATGCTAACATATAGCATCTTGTTACCTCTCGAAAACACCTTTACAGGATGGTCCAAAAGTTGGCTCTTGGCCCAAAGCTTCGTTCCACATGTGTGTCAATGCTGAGGAGAGTGAATTTTTTTGGACCACTCTAGTTTACTTGCTGTGAATTTTTGAAGTCACTCGGGGCTTGTGCCAGCTGACGCATGCGCAGATGCGTTTTTTTCACTTTTTCCAGCCCCCGCAGCCATTTTGAATCACTCCATGAGAGTGATTCAAAATGGCCCAATTAGTTAGAACAGCGGAGATAGACTTGACTACGTCCGTCAATATATACAGTCTATGGTTAAAATGAACAAGCTCCGCTCCGTTTCCGTCTCCATGACAGCGGTCTGTTTGTGCCATAGGTCCAGAACCAGCAGAGACAGACCCCCTCAGCGCGGGCGGGCAGTGTGGGCTCCCCCTGGTGGGCTGGAGGCTCACGCTGCAGCAGTTGCGAGCGCTTTTCATCAAGCGCTGGCTGTACGCACGCAGGAGCCGTCGCGGCCTCTTTGCTCAGGTCAGAAATCAACAATATTTGAATAATATGGTTACTGGTTTACTGTGTACAGGTAGTCAGTAGAAATGTTGTTTTCACCTTAGCAGTATTTTAGAGTTATTAGATTCACAAAGAGAGAGACTAGAAAGAGACAGAGACCACAAATGTCTTGCGTATGTTTTAAGTTGTCACCACTTCTAGACTGTTATGAGGTTATAATGAGACCATAGTCGATACAGAGACCAGAGAGATACTACAGAGAAACCAGAGAGAGAAAATAATGAGACCATAGTTTATATCTGACAAAAAAAGATTGTGGATTGTTCCAGGAATTACAGAGCATTAAATTATCTCAAAAGCAGTGGTCCTTAACCTTGTTGGAGATACCAAACCCCACTAGTTTCGTATGCGCATTCACTGAACCCCACTTGAGCAGTCACAACTTTGCACTTGGGGCCAGTGGGGCCCCAAAATAATTGTGAATAAAAGTGGTCTTCTTTATAGAGTAATAATCTATCAAATAATATTGTATTAAGAATAATTGCAATAAATAAATATACATTTTGTATAACATTTATGCATAATTCAAAGGCTTTGCCAAAGCCTTTGAAGCCAAATCAATGACAATTTTTTTCTAAACCAGACTGAAATGTGGCCGCCCCATGCCCTGAGTGCTTGCTTAAGTGGTGAGCCACTGAAATCATACTGCACATATCTAAAACTGGTCTCAGTCGACGGCCGTGGGTCACATTCATTTTGGCCCCAAGGCCGATATCATCCAAATATTGGAATCAAACACATCAAAAAACATGTTGATATCGTGGCTATAGCAGCAAGCTAGTTTTTTTTCTCTACGGAGCCAAAGCATATACGTGACTGGGACAACAGTGAAAGACAGGTTTTGGAAAGTGATTTAAGTGAGGCTCTTGCTAGTACTATACAAGAAGCCATCGAGCCATTGAGTTTAAAAGAAAATATAATTAACAAGCATACTAAAGTGCGACAGTTATGAGTGCGCAGTGTTATGGAAATTCTAATGCTTCAAATAAATAAATCCGAGAGGAAACAGAACTTGTCTTTCTGTGCAGTTTATTTACAGAAGTGATGAGTACAAAAATGACATTTCTGCGCAGAAGGAGTCAAACAGAAACGGGACCTGGACCGATGCCGTGTCTGTCTGTCCGTCCTCAACCAGCGTGTTGATAATCTTATACTGGAGGCGTGTCAAACAGAACAATGAGCATACGTCACAAGAGATGAGTCATACGCAGGTGCCGAGAAAGGCAAGTTTTCTGAAAGATACATTAGGCGCTGTGAAGAGACCTTGACAACAGGGAGACGCGGAAGAAACAGATAATAAAAGGACATAGCGTGAGCGGACGCAGATAGTGCGCCTGCAGGTGGTGGCCAAGGCCATCGCTGAACAAGAGGGCCTTTGTGCGATGTACCAAAAGTGCTGAGAACGGAGTTTCAGACGCTGGGAACGAAGACACATGTATCGACTAATGATTAGAATTGTCCGATGCCGGGAGACTGGCCATAACAGCAGTTGGGGTTCAGAACTGATCAGGGAAAAGTACCAAACGCATGTGCACCAATGACTTCGCTGCAGGTGTGAGCAACAAGTTCAGAGCTAAAATGTTGCTGATTTTTCGCTTTTGTTACATTATTTTCGAACTCGCCAAAAAGACCCACGGAGCTCACGGACCTTATAAAAAACCTGTGTCTCTGACTCTACTCGACGCATCCCGAGGCAGAAGCGACTCGGTGGAGTCTCTAGAGCAGAAAAGTCACTGCTGTTAGGGGGAAACTCTCCGATATCAACACGTGTCTGGATAATATCCGCACAGGACCTGGAACAGCGTTACTGCTCGTGAAGCATATGGGCTTGTACCTGGAGGATGAGACATTTTTACAGTTTAAGCATTTTTTTCTATCAGCTCATGTCAGAAGTGGACATTCCGCACGACACACTATGAGAGCGTAGTGTCGATGCGACCACAGTTAACCGTGCAATGGACGGCTTCATAGACTGAGAGTCGACCATGGACTGAGACAAAGTGGAGGACATCGCTCCAGAGACAGAGACAGCGCCAAAGAAACAGAAGAAAACAAACATTGCAGCAGTCGTGAAGGAAGCGTGTGATACTGTGCTTGCTCAAGTGGAGGAAACTTTTCAGTCAGTTCAGTGAATAATTTCCATGGGATTAATTTGAAGCAGCAAAACAAATCTGGTCAATTGGAAATAAAGTGAAACTTGAACCTGAGCTGAAGTCTCCGTACACTCACTCAGTTTCTGGCAGCACTCTGCTGCAGCGGATCTATGACAACAACCTAACGGATTATTATTATTATCACCAGTGACCACAGCTTAGCCAAAAAGAGCATGAATAGAGAAACTTTACAATGCTGACAAGGATCAAGACATTTACAAGAAACACAATGGGGCAGCAGAGATGCACTGGCCATTTTGTCCATTGAAATTTAATTATTGCATCCTTTCTATTCAAGAAATGAACAACACTGGTGAGTAGCATTTTATTTTGAACCTTTCAAATGTTTTATTCGTGGGCTTTATATGTTAGGTTGTGCATAAAAAATGGGCTGTGGTCCTGAATTGAATTGTACAGTTTCTGGCAACAGCTGATCTATGACAACAACCTAGTGGTACTTTTTACACAAAGTACCACCTTGGAGAATACTTGCCTCTCCAAGTACCACCACAAATAGCATAGTAAGCCTAAGTATTCATGAAGAACAAGGCAGAGGTTTCATTCCTAAAGATGTAGTTTAATATTGTCAGCCAAAATGAGTAGCATTTTATTTTGAGCCATTCAAAGATTTTACTCATGGGCTTTATATGTTAGACTTTGCATAAAAAATGGGCTGTGATCTTGATTTGAATTTATTGTGTAGATTTTGCTGCTTGAGGATGTAAAGTTCTCTCTTTGGTGTCAAGCTTTAAATACTAGAGAAAATACATTTGCAGTTTTAATACATGTTTTTAAAGAACTCGTGATAAAAGTATGACACCAACAACGCGTCTTTTGTCAAATATAAAATTACATTGAGCAAGTTCAACTGTCGCTTACGGCCACACCACCCTGAACATGCCCGATCTCGTCCGATCTCGGAAGCTAAGCAGGGTCGGGCCTGGTTAGTACTTGGATGGGAGACCGCCTGGGAATACCAGGTGCTGTAAGCTTTTGCATTAGCAGAGAGGAGTTATAGAAAAGGGCAGGCCACAAGGGACGACCTTGACCCCTTCTTTTTTTGATGTTGGTTATTTTTTATTTTCTTTAATACAGTTCTAAGCTGCATATTCACAACCTACACTGCATAATGTCGTTGAAGTTATAAGTTACACTGGTAGTAGCATGTGTTAAAAAGATTCTTGTGAAATTTTCTGATCTGAAGTTTTGTGAAGATGTAGAGACAGTTTCATAGAGAATAGTGTGAAAGCCTGAGTGGTTCCTTTGTTCTTGCAGTGTCTCTTGTGTCATGTGGAACGGGGGAGGGAGAGGTGGTTGTTTCTGGTAGGAGACATTTGGGGGAGGGACTTCCTGTCTGTGTCTGCTCCATGGATCTATTATAATAATCTATATAATAATCGCTGGATAGGGTATTACTAGGTTGGTGCTGATGGACCCATTCTTGCGGTACTGCAGACTAAACTAGACTAAATTTCTCCGTAGAACTCAGTATGAACTAAAACGGCCCGACTGCAGCTGACAGAGAACCTACAGCTCTCACAAAGGTTGGATTTTGTGGGGATTTTAGTGTCCCTTGTCGTCCTGAACTTTTTTCCTCCTAAAATCCTTCAGGTTTTATTGAATCCGCTCTTTAGTGCCACACTCTGCTCGGTCGTTGCCCGCTCTAGTTTCGCTCTTATCTGCAGCGCTGATTGTTCAAAGCGCGGCCGAGCCCCTCTGTGCGTGAGAGCCACACACGCGTATTTGGCGCAATGCATCATGGGAGCTCGTCCACTGTGCAGAACCGGAAGGACCAGACGATGTCCAATTATGGACAAGTTCTGCTAAACTTTTGGTCCCCATGGTGGCACATGCGCCACTGAGCACAAGCCATTCATTTGGATAGGACGCCATCTCGGATCACCGGGGCTTGGTCTGCTCTCAGACTGAATAAAGTAAAGTTTTTAGTTGTTTGTGCTAAAGCTGCTGCTTCACTGTAAACTCTCAAACGCTCTTTTCTGCTGTAGAACCAAAAGCAGTGAAATACTTCAGCCCAAACAGACGTATCATTAGCATACTGCAGTGCATTGTGGGTAAGCCCATGCGACTCCTCAGACTGAGGCCAGCATGGCTGTGAATGAGTCTATGTGTGGGCCCCTGTACAACTCATACTTACCTGGCAGGGGAGATACCATGATCATGAAGGTGGTTCACCCAGGGCGAGGCTCAACCATTGCACTCCGGTTGTGCTGACCTTTGCGAATTCCCCAAATGTGGGAATCTCGACTGCATAATTTCTGGTAGTGGGGGACTGCGTTCGCGCTCTCCCCTGATCAACTGGTTCAAAGACAAATATCCACAATATACATCAGCTGATTCTGCTGGTCACTTTCCTTTACAGTCAATCAAACAGATTTTAGCAGTTTCCATGTTTCTGATTTATGAAGGAGTCTAAAGGAAGTAGCTGGTTTTAGAGTCATGTTATTTACAAAGAGCCAACGTCATCAAAGTACACGGGGATCAAAAGACATTTCGACCGTTTTGTTACAAAGCCAATAAAGCCCTCTTAAGATGCGTTCACACCGGACTTAACTTCGACTTCAAAAGCATTAGGTTTGCATTGAAAGTGAATGGTGAAGCGTGTCAGGTGACGCCGTTTTGTAGAAGCCCTACAACAAGGTTGTTTGGCTTTATATAAAAAATGTCCCCACCATTGTCTTGACTACCGGCAAAAGAGAAGCTCCTCCCACCGGCGTCAGGCACTTCACTTGCGTCAAGCTTCAAGCACCAAAATGACAAAAAAAAATAACCCGGCGTCACGTGACACGCTTCAAAAGCATTTTGAAGCTTTTGGTCTGAACGCGCCTTTAGTCAAAACGTTTTAAAGAGTCTATTAAACTTCATAATTCCTTCGGGAATGCCCAAAATAGGGGGTTAGTACTTGTAACTTTTATTTTTTGTATGAAGAATTTGGCAAAAATAGCTAAAAGAGACCAGAACGTCCCAGAAGTGGACATTCTGCACAACGCACTGTAAGAACGTAGTGTCGATGCGACCACACTTAACCTTCCTTTGGACGGCTTCATAGACGGTGTGTGAGTCGACCATGGACTGAGAGACTAGAGTGGAATACATCGCTCCAGAGAAAGAGGCAGCGCCAAAGAAACAGAAGAAAAGAGAAACTTTTCAACGCTGTCAAGGATCAAGACATTTACACAATGGGGCAGCAGAGATTACATGCCATGGCCATGTTGTCCGTTGAAATGTAATTAATTCGTGGATTGATGGATTTTGACGAGTTTCCCAGATGAAAGATCGGCTGCATCCTTTCTATTCAAGAAATGAACAACACTGGTGAGTAGCATTTTATTTTGAACCATTCAAAGGTTTTTTCATGGGCTTTATATGTTAGGTTGTGCATAAAAACTGGGCTGTGGTCTTGAATTGAATTTGTTGTGTAGATTTAGCGGCTTGAGGATGTAAATTTCCTTTTGGTGTCGAGCTTTAAATACTAGAGAAAACATGTTTGTGGTTTTAATACATGTTTTTAAAGAACTCGTGATAAAAGTATGACACCAACAACGTGTCTTCTGTCAAATATAAAATTACATTGAGCAAGTTCAACTTTTGCTTACGGCCACACCACCCTGAACATGCCCGATCTCGGAAGCCAAGCAGGGTCGGGCCTGGTTAGTACTTGGATGGGAGACCGCCTGGGAATACCAGGTGCTGTAAGCTTTTGCATTAGCAGAGAGGAGTTATAGAAAAGGGCAGGCCACAAGGGACGACCTTGACCCCTTCTTTTTTTGATGTTGGTTATTTTTTATTTTCTTTAATACAGTTCTAAGCTGCATATTCACAACCTACACTGCATAATGTCGTTGAAGTTATAAGTTACACTGGTAGTAGCATGTGTTAAAAAGATTCTTGTGAAATTTTCTGATCTGAAGTTTTGTGAAGATGTAGAGACAGTTTCATAGAGAATAGTGTGAAAGCCTGAGTGGTTCCTTTGTTCTTGCAGTGTCTCTTGTGTCATGTGGAACGGGGGAGGGAGAGGTGGTTGTTTCTGGTAGGAGACATTTGGGGGAGGGACTTCCTGTCTGTGTCTGCTCCATGGATCTATTATAATAATCTATATAATAATGGCTGGATAGGGTATTACTAGGTTGGTGCTGATGGACCCATTCTTGCGGTACTGCAGACTAAACTAGACAAAATTTCTCCGTAGAACTCAGTATGAACTAAAACGGCCCGACTGCAGCTGACAGAGAACCTACAGCTCTCACAAAGGTTGGATTTTGTGGGGATTTTAGTGTCCCTTGTCGTCCTGAACTTTTTTCCTCCTAAAATCCTTCAGGTTTTATTGAATCCGCTCTTTAGTGCCACACTCTGCTCGGTCGTTGCCCGCTCTAGTTTCGCTCTTATCTGCAGCGCTGATTGTTCAAAGCGCGGCCGAGCCCCTCTGTGCGTGAGAGCCACACACGCGTATTTGGCGCAATGCATCATGGGAGCTCGTCCACTGTGCAGAACCGGAAGGACCAGACGATGTCCAATTATGGACAAGTTCTGCTAAACTTTTGGTCCCCATGGTGGCACATGCGCCACTGAGCACAAGCCATTCATTTGGATAGGACGCCATCTCGGATCACCGGGGCTTGGTCTGCTCTCAGACTGAATAAAGTAAAGTTTTTAGTTGTTTGTGCTAAAGCTGCTGCTTCACTGTAAACTCTCAAACGCTCTTTTCTGCTGTGGAACCAAAAGCAGTGAAATACTTCAGCCCAAACAGA